TTCATGTGGCCTTAAGATTGGCACAACAACAGTGTGTAGAGAGCTTCATGGATTGGGTTTCCATGGCCGAGCAGCTGCATCCAAGCCTTACATCACCAAGTGCAATGCAAAGTGTCGGATGCATTGGTGTCTTTGTCTGGCAATCCGATGGACATGTCTGGGTTTGGCGGTTGCCAGGAGAACGGCCTGACTGCATTGTGCCAAGTGTAAAGTTTGGTGGAGGGGGGATTATGGTGTGGGGTTATTCTTCAGGGGTTGGGCTTGGCCCCTCAGTTCCAGTGAAGGGAACTCTTAAGGCATCAGCATACCAAGACATTTTGGACAATTTCAGGCTCCCAACTTTGTGGGAACAGTTTGGGGATGGCCACTTCCTGTTCCAACATGACTGCGCACCAGTGCACAAAGCAAGGTCCATAAAAACAATGGATGAGCGAGGTTGGGGTGAAGAAACTTGACTGGCCTGCACAGGGCCCTGACCTCAACCCGATAGAACTCCTTTGGGATGAATTAGAGCGGAGACTGTGAGCCAGGCCTTCTCGTCCAACATCAGTACCTGACCTCACAAGTGCACTTCTGGAAGAATGGTCAAACATTCCCATAGACACACTCCTAAACCTTGTGGATGCCTTCCCAGAAGAGTTGAAGCTGTTATAGGTGGGCCAACTTAATATTGAACTCTACGGACTAAGACTGGGATGCCATTAAAGTTCATGCACGTGTAAAGGGAGACATCCCAATACTTTTGGCAATATAGTGTAGTTCCGATGCCTAGATATAAATGGTAGAGCTATTATGTATTCTTTTTTCAAAGGTTGTTAACATTAGTTATGCCTTTGCAGTCCTGTGCATCTTTGTAGAATAATACATAAAAAAGAAAATGACTATCCATAAATTCTATTGCCAGCTATACCACAAGAGGCCTTTAGCCAAGTAGGTGAGGGAACCAGGGTCAGCATGTCTGTAGACAACTTGTTGCTGAATTGTTTTCCATTTGAGCACAAACGTTGTTTTTTGATTACAACTTTAAATGTAGAATTTGACATATGAAAGTCTTAGACATTTCATTGCCGTGTTGTTGTGGATCTTAATATACTGTAATTGAATGCATTATCTAAACAGCTGTACAGTCTGAATGCATTCTAAATTGTGTGACTGTTTGCCCTGCAAGATAGATGGCATTGCTAACACAATCATTGCTCCAGCTGTGCACATCACAGTGATAGGCCAAATATGCATTGCTACTTAGAGCCACAAAAGGGAAAATAAGTGTCTGATTTTTATAAAAATGAAAACAATAAAAATGGCGTTACACCAAATCAAATTTATTTCATATAGATTTTCTTACAACTGTAACAAAAGTAAACACGTCATTTTATTGGCATGGCAAAATCCTATGCTCAGTGCCAAATTCACTGGAACATGAACAATAACTTTGCCTCCACCTTAAAGCCCAACTCCAGGCAAATTTTAGTTTTTGGCAAAGTGAGGAAGAGTTAGGGCCTCTCTCAGATTTTTATTGCTGTCTGTGTCCCTATCGTGGAGATTTACAGGGCTATTCACTAAGCTGCCGAAGGCATCGGAGTGAATAACCGAGCTGAAGTTACCAGAGCCAAACGACATTTGGCTATTCACCAACGACTCAGTATGGCTGATTTTGGCCGTACATCGGCTGAAATCAGCCGTACATCGGCTGCGTTCGGCTCCCTTCGGTCAGCCGAACATGCTCTGCATGTTCAGCTGAGCCGAAGTGCAGAAGGACTTAGACTCAGCCGATCCAACATCTGGGGCCAAATGGCAGTGAGTGAATAGCCGAATCCTGGCGACCGGAATTTGGCTCGGCTATTCTGCTCGGTACCTACATGGTACCGAGCAGAATTGCAAGAATGTTGAAAAAAATCGCTAAAAGATTTTAAAAATGTAAAAAAATAGGAAGATGAAAAAAAGAAAGGGGGACAAAATGGGCAGGGCTAACAGTGACAGCTAGCTCCGCCCAACTGACATCACGGCTGGTTCCGATCAGCTGTCATTTGCGGGGCGAACGGCTGACCTGCGGCAGGCCGTTCGCCCCGCTTTGGCTGTCACTTCAGCCTTCTGTCTATGACTGTTGAAAGGCCTAGGTGAAACCTTCAGGCTATGACTAGAGGAAGGCCTAGGTGAAACCTTCTGGCTAGGAACTGGTGGAAGGTCTAGGTGAAACCTTCTGGCTAGGAACTGGTGGAAGGTCTAGGTGAAACCTTCTGGCTAGGAACTGGTGGAAGGTCTAGGTGAAACCTTCTGGCTAGGAACTGGTGGAAGGTCTAGGTGAAACCTTCTGGCTAGGAACTGGTGGAAGGTCTAGGTGAAACCTTCTGGCTAGGAACTGGTGGAAGGTCTAGGTGAAACCTTCTGGCTAGGAACTGGTGGAAGGTCTAGGTGAAACCTTCTGGCTAGGAACTGGTGGAAGGTCTAGGTGAAACCTTCTGGCTAGGAACTGGTGGAAGGTCTAGGTGAAGCCTTTTGTCTATGACCGCTGGAAGGCTTACTCTGAAACCTTCTGGCTAGGAACTGGTGGAAGGTCTAGGTCAGGGGTAGCCAAACTCCGGCCCTCCAGCTGTGGTGAAACTACAAATCCCATGATGCATCTCTCTCTGGGAGTCAGGTCTGTGGCTGTGAAAATCTTGCAATGCCTCATGGGATTTGAAGTTCCACCACAGCTGGAGGGCCGGAGTTTGGCTACCCCTGGTCTAGGTGAAGCCTTTTAGCTAGGAACTGGTGGAAGGTCTAGGTGAAGCCTTCTGGCTGTGACTGGTGGAAGGTCCAGATGCCTGCAAGGCTGGAGAGGGCCCTTGATAAAGCTTATTGGCTCTGGGGCAGGCAGTATTTTAAATGTTTTGTATATATTACCATATTAAAATACCGGTAATAGTATTTTGTCTGTTTTCAGCAGTCTGACATTTTTGCTAATGTGAATGTCAATACAGTAGTTTCAAATAGTCCAGCCTGTTCCAATGTGACAGAAGTGACATTACAGCGACTCTAAAAAATGTTGTTGTTTTTTAAAATAGCCTGTCAAAGAACATTATTATTGCTTTTTCCTTTGTTGAAAGGAATCTTCACTCACTATGGCATTTTCATCATCTGGCACTTCTGGGTGCGTTGGAAAACTGCATTCCTTGCTGTCGACTGTGGTTCCACTCACTGGCTACTATATCAGTATGCCCCTACAGCTTGGGAGGGACACATTAGTGACTTAGCAGCTGGTGGGTGGAACCACAGCTTGCAGTGGGGAACATATGACATGCCCAGAAGTGTCAGGTGATTAAAATACCAGGCTGTAGACCTGCAAGAAAACAAAGATTCCTTTCCCTGACATTGGGATTGGTAAGTTTCATTAATGCTTTTTTACTGGCTGCTTTTTTTAAAAATCTTAGTGACCCATTCACCGCACATGTAGGGTTGCCACCTGTCCAGGATTCACACTGACAGTCCGGGTTTTGAATGCTCTGTCCGGGTTTCATGGCAGCAGAAACCCGGACACATCTTGTCAGGCAGACATGGGCAACTAAAATTAAGATTGGGGCTACTGGCCCCGCACTAAAAATAGTCTCAAATGTGATATTTACATATGAAAGGGTGGCGCTATTTAGATATGAATAAGCCACGACTCATTCTCCCAAAAAAATGTTTGTCGGTCACTAGAGTGTTCGGGTTTCGCTTGAAGAAAAGGTGGCAACCCTGAGCACATGCCCTGGTGTAAACGGGGCCTAAAACACAGAAACAACTTTCATGCTTCCCAGGTCACTTTTTCCTGCATATATATGTTCCTGTTTTAAGCTGCGTTTACATGAATTTAACCATGTAAAAACCAGACTCCTGGGTCACAGAACATTCTTGTTTGTTAAAATGCTGCGATACTGCAGTAACTGTTTAGTACAGCTGGAGGGCCAGAGATTGCCTACCCCTGACCTAGACGCTGCTAAATGTCTAGGTGTGTATTCAGCAATAGCAGAGCATTACATGCTTCCAGGTACATTTAGAAATGAGCTCCACATGCACCTGGATGCATGTGTTGTATTCCTATGTACATAAGGCCCTTAGAGTGCAACAGACGGCAGGCCAAAAGCTGATGTCTATTTATATAGTTATATTTGGACATCCTGCACAAATACTATAATTGTAGCGCAGATGTGAAACTATGAAAATGGAGGCTATTAGTATTATATCTGTCTGAATATTTTTTTGACTTAAAGGAGAACTATGGGGGTTAAGGTTTTCCCCCATAGTTCTCCTTAGGGTAACGGGACGACACAAACTAGCGTCCTCCCGTCACCGTAGGCTCAGTATACCGCGAGATGTAGCTCGCGGTATACTGAGATGCCGCAGTATACCGCAAACTGCTGTATTGTGCCGGGATCCACCCAGCTGCGTGACTGACAGCTGGCTCTGCCTATCTATTTCGCTCACCTCCCTATTTACTGAGCCGACCTGTGACAGTCTCATTGTCACAGGTCGGCTAGAACTATGAGGTGAGTGAAAAGCACTCACCTCATAGTTCTCCCTTAAATTTGACTTTAAGGGTCTGTTCATGCTTAACATACAGCTGTTGGTGTGTGTTGACTGGCACAGTGCTGATGTGCCAATCCCGACGCATCGCATTGTTTCCTTTTTTTTTTTTGCTTGAACTTTATTGAAATGTCACAAGTGAAATTACATTAACTTCTATCAGTACGAGATGATGTAAACCGTGCCAATTTGAAACAAGGCTAATTGCTGTGTCTGTGCGTTGGAGCTGTGCTAGAAAATCCCCAACGCTTTAAGTGTGAATGGTTCTTAAAGCTGATGCAAGCAGTGACAGTTGCAATAAGGCTCACACACATATCTCAAAAATAATCTGAAGTAGTTTAATAGAATCAACCTTCAGGCCGACCTAAACGATTGTGACCAGTAGGTGGCGCTCACGGTTCATTGTGCTGTACAAGTCACATTCATGTGTCGATTACTCATGCCTGGCCTGTATTTTCATGTTTGTATGCAGAGGTCAAACATGGCTGCTATGAGAAGTCCTGTGCACATATTTCGTAGTCTTCTGCGGGAACTACGCCATCTGCATGGTCCAGAGCGCTATAAAAACAGTGCTGCGTGCAATTACATTCGGGAGCAATTCCGAAAATACCAGGTAATGTTCGCTATGAAGCTGTTTGATGTAATATATAGGTTGATAGCTGCTTTCCTGTGCACTGGGTATATGTCATACTGCTACTTCACATCCTAACCATGCACGCTATACAGTTTCAGCAATCGTCCTGTACGTATGTAGATGTTAGCACGCAGATTTCCCAACATGCTGATGATGTTATGTTTGTAACTGATAGGCTTTCCATTTTCCTAAGAAAATCATGCAAAGATTTCAGTGTGTGTGCTGAACATCTACATGTGTCAGCTAAATTAGGGAGATGATTGTAGTAGATCCTGGAAGTGTGTAAGTTCAAAGACAGGCAGATCTTTTATTTCTGATTTGGTCTGAAAGATGTATCTTTATCTGTCTATCTTATTACTGTGCACTATTGTGTAATATCAGTTGCCTTACTAGAACTGCATGAGGTCTACACTTCCATTTTCTGAATGAAAAAAACATTTAGTTCCAGGAGTCCCATGGAAGTTATGTAGCCTTTCAAGGATGCATCTGTGAGTGCCTCACTCAACCAAGAAGTGGAAAAACAGTAATAGCATAGTATAGCTAATGAATTATTTCATATCATATGCAGAGTCGCCTGCTGATGTGATTTTTTAGTGAAAGGGACTTCAACTGAAACCTTATCACAAATAACACCACAGTAGAGATGCAATCCCCTTTTACCTCTGGTCTGTCAAGTTTAGGGCAGGATTCAGTGGGACTATGCCACAGCTGTGGCTTACCTCAACCATCAGGGAGACACAAGAAGTCACGCAGCTCAAAGAGAAGCAGACTTTTATGTCTCATCCATGTCTGCCATATACATCCCAGGAATGGATAATTGGCAGGCGGACATCCTTTGTCGTCAATGTCTGGATACTGGAAAATGGTCTCTTCACACAAAGGTGTTTTCGGGACCTGTGTTTTAGGTGCGGGATGCTCGACATAGATGTCCTTGCGTCCTGGTTCAGCAACAAACTGGACAAGTTTGTTGCCAGGATCCGGGATCACTGGGTCTTCGAGGTGAATATATGGGATCAGTTCAGCTTGATCTATGAAAACTCTTGCCTTAACTCCTTTGCAGTGTCGAGTCAGAGGGCATTCTGGTGATCCTGGAAGAATCTCAGTGAGCACTTCCAGATCATCCAAATCTACTGAGGACTGTTAAGGCACCCTGCTTCTTGTTCCCTGGCTTTTAAGAGTGTTGCTGTGTAACCTCAGGTCCTGAAGGATCAGAGCCTCCTGGAAGCGGTCATCCATACACTTCTGAAAGCTAGAAGGTCAGCCTCCCATGAGTTCTACCATTGCTCGCTTATTTCGCTAGGTGTGAATCATGACCTAATTTTTTCCTCTTTCGGTGGTCTCTGCATTCCACCTCAACCAGGACATTGTTTAACCATCCTTATGTCCATCACCAAAACATCCTAAAGAGGTTTCCTTCCACTGTTTTGGATGTGTTTGAGTTTACCTCCTGGTACGGTGTCCGGCAAACTATCATTCAGGCCTCTGAGGTAAAGTATCCCCTTTCTGGTTAACAGCTCACTCTACCAGTACTGCTTGGGCTTTCCAGCATCAGGCTTTGGCTTCTCAAATCTGCAAGGTCTGCCACCTGGTCCTCTGTTTATTTCTTTGCCAAATATTACCAGGTGGACGTTCAGGCCTCTGTGGATGCTGGCTTTAAAATTATTTAGGCGTTCCTCTAAATTGTGGGCTCTCTCCCATTGTTCCCTGTTGGGCTTGGTTGTTGTTTTCCCAGGAATGGCATGATCGGTATGTGTGGCTTGGCCAGAGGGAGATCAGCACACTTCAGTGGCTGATCTTCCCTCCGCTTTCTGAACCCAGAAGCGATGATGATTTTGACACTTCTGATTGCGGCTGTAATTTCTCTGGCTGCCGTGGCTGGAGAAGAAGCTAATGAAGCACAGATTGTGTCGATAGGTGATGTCAGGGGTGTAATAGACCCCTATTGTCTCCATAAAGAGGACATGTCACTTCCTGTATGCTATCGCATAGAGGGCTTGTAAGTTTAAAAAAATGAAAGCGACAAACATGGAAAAAGATTTTGGAGGTGGCTGTTGCCTCTTTGAACCCAAGTCTTGGTAAAACTTGTGCATTTAAAGGAGGGTGGTACCAGGAATGAAATCCTTGTTTCAATACGTAAAACTACTGATGCTGCTTTTTCCAGCTGAAACTTCTGAAGAGGCTAATCATATTAATGATCATGCTACTTGTTTGAATTTGTATTTTAATCCATAGGGCCTTGCTGCTAGGGCATTAGGAGGAAGACCTATCCACTAAATCTCACATATGTGGCCTTCCATTTATCAGGAGTTGTTTATTTAGGCCAGATGGGATTTGGAATATTATGTATAAAGTTCCAGAAAGTGTGTGTGTGTGTGTGGTGTGTGGTGTGTGGTGTGTGGTGTGTGTGTGGTGTGTGTGTGTGTGTGTGTGTGTGTTCGTGTTCTTGCATAGAGAACTTATTGTTGGTCTTAAAATGAACATGTGCCATGGGCAGTCTTATGCCTATACTTATAATGCACTCATCCTTTTCAACATTGCCTGTTCTTATTAAGCACCGTCTCCCCCAGTACATTCATAACGGGTCATCGTTATAAACATTCTCTCTTTGTAGATCTTCTTTGTGTAGATGGCCTGGAATCACATCACCTCTAGCCAAAATCCTTAGAATTCTTTGAAATGCTGTGGCCCTTATTCAGTTCAATGGAAAGCCCACCTGTCGGCCTGAAAATTAACTTTCAATTAAAGTGAATGGAGGCTGTGGTATTGCTGTGCAGAATTATTGAAGATTTTTGACACAAACAGTGCCTGGGATGTAGGCAAGTATGATCTATTATGAATGTGCTGGGGGAGAGTAGAGAGGGTGCTAAAAAGTGTACACGGAATCTATAATCCAGTTATTATAGTATAATCTAGTGCTGGCCACTTGGAAAAAGTGTTTTTGTTGTTGTTGTTTTTCTTAAATAAGAAGAAACTTCAGTTATTTGACTAACTCAGTAGACTGTATGATTTTTAATGACAGAAAATGTAAAAAACAATTTGAATTGGTTAAAAACGCATTGTACTACACTTGTGCCACCACAGTAGTGCTATCCAGAATCGTGTTCACCAATTTAGCCATTTGACTACAAGAAGCAACTGCTTGAAAACTGACCATGTAAAGTTTAGCATGTGTTAAGGTCATGACTTGAAGTCAGAACTGCAAATCTGGTTAATGGCAACATAAGCTAGCTGGCACCTGACTTCCTGAGATCCAGCTGTTCATGCTCCGCTTTATGATGGTTTCAATCATATATTTTGAATTGAATGAAAAACTGGTTGCTAGAAAATTGTCCAAGTGTAAGGCAAACAATATACCTTAATTTCAGTGCTGTGAAATCAAGATAGGCTATTGCTGAATATTTCTTTTATTTTTACAGGTAACTAGCGAGAAGCTCTGCCTGGCTCAGCAAGAACTTCAGTTTCAGGCCTCCACTTACTTTTGCCTTCTCCAAAGTGTTAGGAATCAACTTATCTTACATGAGGAATTCCATGCTAAAGGAGAGCGTTCTACTGAAGAAGCGGCTGGTCTTGTGGGTCTCAAGCTACCACAGCAACCTGGAGGAAAGGGATGGGAAACATAAAACTGCTTAGAAATAATGTCATGGTAAATGTCAGAGACAGCAGTTTAAAACGTTCTTCTTTTTACTTAATAAATTAAATGTTTATGTAAATATTGATATACAGTTCCTAAATTGCTGAAAAGGAAATACTTAATTTCTAAAAGAGTTTATACACTCACTGGCCACTTTATTAGGTACACTTTGCTAGTACTGGGTTGGACCCTTTTTGCCATCAGAACTGCTTCAAAGGAGAACTATGAGGCGAGTGAAAATCACTCAGCCTCATAGTTCTAGCCGACCTGGGACAATGAAACTGTCACAGGTCGGCTCAATAGATCGGGAAGTGAGCGAACACATACCGTCACTCGCTCACTTCTCGATCCTGTCCCTGCAGAGAGCCGTGACTGTCACTCACGGCTCCCTGCAGGGATTCCCCCCTCCCCTGTCCGATCCTCCAGCGCTGACGGACGGGGGAGGGGGCGGGTACAGCTGGCTCTGCCTCTAGATAGGCAGAGCCAGCTCTTTCACTCATAAAGCTGGGTGGATCCAGACGGTAATGCCGGGATCCGTCCTGGCTGCGGCGTCTCAGTATACCGCAAGCTATATCCTGAGATTCGCGTGACGGGAGGACGCTAGTTTGTGTCCTCCCGTTACCCTTAGGAGAACTATGGGGAAAAGCCCTGACCCCATAGTTCTCCTTTTTTAATTCTTTGTGGCATTGATTAAACAAGGTGCTGGAAATATTCCTTGGAGAGTTTGGTCCATAGTTACATGATAGCATCACACAGTTGCTGCAGATTTTTTGCTGCACATCCATGATACAAAGCTCCACCAGCCTGAACTGTTGATACAAGGCAAGATCCATGCTTTCATGTTGTTTACATCAAATTCTGACCTGACCATCCGAATGTCGCAACAGAAATTGAGACTCAACAGGCCAGGCAATGTTTTTTTTTTTTTTCTTTCCAATCTTCTATTTTCCAATTTTGATGAGCCCTTGCAAACTGTAGCCTCAGTTTCCTGTTCTTAGCTGACAGAAGTGGCACTCGGTGTGGTCTTCTGTGGCAGTAGCCCATTTGCTTCAAGGTTCAATGTGTTGTGTGTTCAGAGATGCTCTTCTGCATACCTCAGTTGTACCGAGTGGTTATTTGAGTTACTGTTGCCTTTCTATCAGGTTGAACCAGTATGGCCATTCTCCTCTGACATCAACAAGGCATTCTTGCCCAGAGAGTTGCCGTTAACTGGATATATTCTCTTTTTCAGACCATTCTCTGTAAACCTTAGAGATGGTTGTGTATGAAAATTCCAGTAAATCAGCAGTTGCTGAAATGCACAAACCAGCCCGTCTGGCACCAACAACCATGCCCAAACATATTTAAATGTATTGAGTTACTGCCATGTGATTGGCTGATTAGATATTTGTGTTAACAAGCAGTTGAAGAGGTGTACCTAATAAAGCAGCCAGTGAATTTATTTAACCTCATCGAATAATACTGTAGGTCTTCAATATATTCATGTTTGAAATAAGACATGTTTTTATATATTAACAGACACTGATAACAGGAAGTGAAAAGTGTAGGCGTCAGTGGTCACAAGGAGAAGAACCACAACATCAAAAATACCTGTGGGGTTGCCTCCTACTCATACCATATATGGAGATCTTCCCACTAACACAGACAGACAGCCCTCAAAATCAGTATAATACGCTTTATACAGCACACAACCTGGAGGGGGGTTAAGAGTGAGTTGGGTAGGAGAGATACCCACGGGTGGGGGGGAAATAGGGTTTAGGTGAGATCTTTCTGAGGGCTTCTTCACACCGTCTACAGACCGGAATGTTATCTGTCTGGTCCACAAACACATCCGTGTAGATTTCAATGTTTTTTCTGAGTGTAGTTCACACCGCTGGGATTTGTCCTGAGCTTAAAATGAAGACGTTTGTGTCTGAGGTGCACCAGTACACATGGATCATTTGCAATCTGAAGCTGGGGCTTAGCATTGTTTCAAGACTGCCAGTGCAGGTCTGCAGCAGTGAAGGAGTTAAATTCATTCACCCTGTGGGTTCTGGAAAGAATATGGCAGCTTTATCTCCTGGCACCCAATCCTGTTATTTGATTGCAGGGCAGTGCTAAGCCTTCTCAAAGATCTCTGAAAAGCATAATAGTCATTTACCATTTCACAGACAGCAGGAATCAACAATTAGCTGGGAAAGGAAGAGAGAGACACGGACCGACGCTGGGAGGGGGATTGAGGAAGAGAGAGACACTGACTGATGCTGGGAGGGGGATTGAGGAAGAGAGAGACACCAACCAACGCTGGCGGGGGGGGGGAGCGGACTGAGAGACACTATCTGACATTGGGGTCACGCAAAAATTTCCTCGGCCGAAAAGGGGTCACGAGTGGAAAAAGTTTAAGAAGGCCTGCTCTAAAGAAATCCCCACTCCCTACTCAACACCTCATTGTCATATAAAAGCAAAGAAAATTAAATCTAAATGGTGTAAATCAAAAATATAGCAAAAAGAAGCAGGGCAATGTACCCCCCACTCCAAGCACATTGAACTATAAAAAAATGATATATCTTCATTATAAAACTATCACTCCCAGGGATGGTTGGGTGCCCCTAAACAACTGCTTCAGCAGTCTATATAATTAATAGTGTAGCGCTTATACCACGGACGAATTACATACACATAACCTGTATATGTAGAAAACATTACCTGCAATTTAGTCTTGGTCTTTATAGATGACTTTATATGAACCTGAATCCAGAGAAGTTGCACCTAATTGGTGGTGAAAAATGACCTATAATATAATACAGTCATGACCAGAAATATTGGCACTCCTGCATTTCTGTCAGATAATGCACCACTTTGCGCAGAAAATGGCTGCAATTACAAATGTTTAGACATTCTCCTGTTTTATTTCTTTTGTTTGTATTGATTTGGCACAAAAAAGTGGAGAAAAAAAAGCCAAATCTGACACATTCCACGCAAAACTCCAAAAATGGACTGGACAAAATTATTAGCACCCTCAATTAATATTTGGTAGCAGAGCACTTGGAAAAAATAACTGAAATCAATTGCTTCCTGTAACCATCAATGAGTTTCTTACACCTCTCTACAGGAATTTTGGACCACTCTTCTTTCACCAACTGTTCCAGGTCTCTCAGATTGGAAGGGTTCTTTTTCCCAACTGCTGTTTTGAGATCTCCCCACAGGTGCTCTATGGGATTCGGATCTGGACTCATTGCTGGCCAGTCCAGTACTCTCCAGCACTTTGTCTGAAACCATTCTGAGCGCTTTTTGACGTGTGCTTTGGGTCATTGTGCTTCTGTAAGACCCATGACCTCTGACGGAGACCCAACTTTCTGACACTGGGCTCTACATTGCACCCCAGAATTCTTTGGTAGTCTAGGGATTTCATAATGCAATGCACACAGTCAACACATGCAGTGCCTGAAGCAGAGCAAAGCAATTCCAAAACATCAGTGAACCTCCATTATAATTTTAAAAATGCAAAAATCAAACCTGCATATGCCGAAGGGTACTACTGTATTGATCAAGGTGATAAAACTGTGATCAGCACTGAAGAGGTTCCTTTTTTAAAATAAAATGATTAAAAAAGGGGACAATTAATGGGGGAAAAAAACATGCACCCCAACAATCCTGAACAGTACTATTATATTGATCAGAGTGATCACAGTTATAAAAATGATCAATGAATGGGTTCATTTTTTATAAAATAAAAGGTTTTTTCAATTATTATAACTGACTACTTTTAGTAGCACTGATCTGTCTACTTCTTGCCACAGATCACATTGTGGCAAGAAGAAGAGAGCAGCAGAGGCAGTGCGTTAGGACGTTCTATGCCATCCTGGAACGCATGGGCTTTAGAGCTCGTTTCCACCAGCCCGTGCGCTCATCGCACTGTCCCGTGCCCAGAACGCAAGGGATCGCATACACACAGTCTCGTTCTGGGCGGGAGGGGACGTGGCAGTGCCATTCATGTAAATGGCAGTGCAGACACGCCCCCTGCCAGCAGTGCGATCGGCCACACAGGACCGCGTGGTAAAAAAATGTCCTGTGTTCCAGTGCAGTACGATCACAAAAAATAGTGCATGCAAGATTTTGTGCGATTGGGGGGCGTGTCTGCAGTGCTGTTCCGAGCACGGGACAGTGCGATGAAACGTGGAAATGAGCCCTAAAGCCCATGTTTTCCAGGACGGCATCGAACATCCTAACGCCACAAACTGGTTAAGGGACACATGATATTAGAGGACAATGGTTATATTGCTGCTTACAGAAAAATTGGATACTGGCAAACAAAAAGTGTCTGCTGTCCGTGTAGTTTGGAGTGCTGTGACACTGTGTTGTAGGGTCTGCGTTCAATTTCTGAGCCTTGGCTCCCTGTATGTGTGCACCTGTCTGTGCAGCTCTTGCCAGACCAACAGCTCTAAAAGCTTGGAGATCCACCTGTAGCAAGGTGTACTTTTGCACATGAAAGGCACATGGCATGAAATTAGGAAAATAATATCCCTGGAAGTACTCCTTGTGAAGTGTCCTGGCTTTCCTTCAAGCAGGTGTTCTCTTAAGGGTCACCGCAGCACATATACTTGTGTCCTCCTCGTGGTATACTGAGACCGCCGCAGCCGGAACGGATCCCAACAATGCTGTGGAGATCATCCACCCAGCTGCGTGAATGACAGCTGGCTCTGCCTATCTAGAGGCAGAGCCGGCTGTACCAGCCCCCTCCCCCGTCCGTTCCTCCAGTCAGCACTGGAGGATCGGAGGTGGAGAATCCCTGCACAAATACGTAGGTTTACACTACAAACCGTTACTGCTTCCTCTATTGTTATATAAAGTCCTCCAACAAAGGCTGGATTCACACTATTGCCTTGTGGTAACAGTTGAGTGGTTCGTTGGTGGTACACAACTACTGTAGAAGTCAACTCATCCACCTTCAAGCACCATAACTCACATAACATGTGTTGTGGTACGCTGTTAAAAAAAAAGTGTTTGTAAAACCTCACAGTGAACTTTTCTTACTTGATTTTGGTCTGTTAAATGTAACATTACAAGCATTTTGTGCTATCTGTTCAATAAGTGCAAAGACCATCGC